ATGTTTGCATTTATGATCAAATATCATCCTTGCATCTATTTCTTTGTTAAAGAGGTTTCCAAACCAGTGTGAAGAGTACACATCATTTCTTTCTTTTAATACATATTTTAATACATCTCACAATTGACTACAATTGACTGACCTTAAATGAATAATTAGAATTGGGTATAAATAGTAAGGGAGCAGCTTCACAGAAATGCCTTTTGAGTCACACAGACTTTCCAAACATATAGCTGAGTGATCTCCTCCTCTCCAATAAAGATAATTAGAAATCAATAAGGTGGTCTCAAGGAGTCCAGGCTTCTTTGTTAATCAGATGCCTTGGAAATCAGAATCTCTTTTAGGCCAGTTGATGATCAGGAATAAGAGATGAAGATTCCATTTCCCTCCAATCTTAGGAGGTCTAGGAGGCAAACCAATGGGTATGTGGGAGGGGCATGAAAAGGGAGGAGGACGAGGGGAATACTCTTGGTACAGCAGTCACTGAGCAGGAAAGGCATTCCAAGGCTTGGGGAAGGGCCAGAGAAGCAGATCAGCTCATTCATAGTTTGAGCTTCAAGATCTACTGTTGGAGATCACTCACCTCTGCTCATTGTTCCTCCACGCTCCAGGGGAGGAGTACTGTACAAAAGGATCAAGCCCAAGGACAATGGATAGAGTGAAGGTAGAACACTTGATGGAATACTATAAGAGTTAGGAGCTGATTCCCAGACTGGTGGGTCCATTCTTGAACATTATTTGAAGTCTCTGAGATGACTCTTACTTCACCCCACACAGCTGGTCTAGGTAGAAAGACCCATAGCTGCCTGCTGCTTAGGAAGGACCCCATCTTAAGTCTTCTTGGGTGAGTACCAAGAGAGAGTTTTCCAGAAAATTGAATAGCAAGTACAAAGGCAAGAACAAGTGATACAAGCTCATCGAAGACCAGGATGGCCAGAACCACCAGGTAGGGAGAGCAAACTGAGAGGCAGTGCTTAAAAAGGGGGTTAGGTGGATACTGAATACTGTCTTAATTGTCGTCATGTACTCCCAGCCTAGCAGAAGCTGCACCTGAAGCCTTGTGATCTGCTAGGCAGTGAAACCTGAGTCTCAGTTAAATACTTGGATGACTAATAATGGCTTGAAAGCATTAATGAAGCTTTTCATCTTCTCATCTGAACTCTAATGGAGGAAGAGAAACTGACATGCAAAGATTCTGAGCTGGTTTGTCTCAGAGCTTTCTATCATTCAGCTTACTCTCCCATCATTCCCAAAGGGAGGTAAGATGCACTGTCCCCATTGAGAGTAAAGGAGCTCATGTTGCACCTACTGGTCATAGGGCTGAATGGAATGGCTGAGGTGGGCCCCTCCTCCAGCCTGAGGCACTATTGTTCTCTTTCATATTCTCTCTCTCTCTCTCTCTCTCTCTCTCTCTCTCTCTCTCTCTCTCTCTCTCACACACACACACACACACACACACATACACACACACTGGTACTAAAGCTGGAACCCAGGGTACTTTACCACTGAGCTATATCCCCAGCCGTTTTTATTTTTTATTTATTTATTTTTAAATTTTGAGACAGGGGTTTGTTAAATTGCTGAGGCTGTCCTCAAACTTGTGATCCTCCTGCCTCAGCCTCCCAAGTTGCTGGGATTACAGGTGTGCACCACGGCACCCAGATATAAGAGTCTTGATGGTTGTCTAGTTACGGACAAATTTGTCCGTCTTCCCAGTTTTGTTCAGATGCAACTCAGAGCAATTTATTCTCCAGCCCCACACTGGCACAGCCCTTCAGATTTGAAAGTCACCTATACCACATGCCTCTAATGCCCTCTGCTCTTGATGAAGTATCCTCTCAGTTCTCTTTAGACACCTGTTTCCCAGGCTCCTCGGCTTTTTGGTAGTTGGTTTTGGGATGCTTTTCTCCTCTGGTTCATCTGCATATGGTTCCATTAAACTTGGTGCCAAGGATTTAAAGATTCCCTGTGTGTCGTCCCACCGGCATGGAGAGACATGCCATTTAAGCTGTCTTCACCGTTTCTTCTTCATTAAGTAGTGTCTCCCCAACCCAGTCAAACTCCCTCCTCTCCATGGGACACCATTTAGCTATTTCTCTACTCCCTTTTCTGGAAAATATAAACAGACTCAATGTTTGGTACCTAATTTTCTTTTTCATGCCTCATCTCACCTTTGTTCCCCATCTTTAAGCGCTCTATTTGGGCATGTGCTTTTCGGTAAATCGGTGGCATTTGGTACAGTGATCAATTATGCTGGCTAATTGCTCCTCATTTAAGAATCCCTATTCTTTCTCACTAAAGACCAGAAAGGAATTGGTCCTCTCATTGACCAGGTGCGCCAAATCTCTTAGCCCCACTGTGACATTTTGCAGTTTAGTGCTCAAGTGCTCATTTAGTGAGGGGCATAATTTGAGGAGCTTGTGTTTGCTCAGGGGGGCAGCTGGCTCCTCTGTTCTGGACCCTTCTGTTTTCCTCTGCACTCCTTCTCTGTGGGGCCAACCAACCTCTGCTAAATACAAAAGAGAAAGCATTGTTTTTTTTTTGGTGGGGGAGTCATTCATCTTTACAAACTCTGCTCCAATTAAGCTTTTGTCTTTCTCCTATTTCCTAGGTATCTTGGTAACAATCACTCTGAGGTTGTAAAATGAGTCTAATGGCCCTTTCTGGTTATTTCTAGCTACACTGGGCTTTTAAAACTCTTCCCTTCAGACTGTCTCCTTTATGGGTTGATGTTATTTGCTGCTGTTGTAAATGCGATTCCTTCTGGCTTATTGAAATACCCCCTAAAAATATGTGTGTTAAGGACTCTTGTGCTGCATATTTAAGAATTCCAATGAGTCAAAAGTGGGCATTTGAAGAAGAGAACAAACATACACTCTTTGGGACCATCACTTAAAATTCCAGTCATCAGCCCTTTGGAGATGTAAATTGCGGAAGCAGCTCTCTTCTCTCCTTTGGACAGCTTAATGATCTGTAGTTAATGGTAAGAGGCTGATGGGCAGATGCAGTCCAGCTGGGCTTAGGTTAGCCTTTCCAGCTATCCAAATGGCACAGTGATTACAGCCATTGAGACACGAAATCCTAATCCAGAGTCAGCAACCCAAAGTGCAAAGATTGGGCGGTTGGGTGTCAGTGTGGCCTGTTCTCCACACAAAACAGTTATCCTGCCCCAACCAGTAACTGATGTCACCTTCCTGAGTCTGCCCCAGACTAGTAGTTGCCTGAACAAAGAGCCCCTCTGAGAACTCGGGGATGAAGAGTACTGGATTTAGGACTAACTTCTCCTCTTATCTGAGTGCACAAAGTTTTACTGAATGAACTAGGGGAAAAACTGAGTGTGATCTCTTGGTAGCCAAAAAGGTCTGAGGGCTATGCAATACATAATAGCGCCTAGAGGCAGCTGGTATGTAGTTATACCTTTTATGTAAAATTGGCTTGGCATTTATGTGTCCTGGGGTATCAGATCCAGTTACAATTGCCAGCATCTTTTCATCTTTCCCTAAGATAAATAAATAAGTGGATTCAACAACAACAAACAATACCATTGAAAAGTGGACAAAGGAGCCAGCTGGGCCTGGTGGTGCATGCCTGTAATCCCAATGGCTCTGGAGGCTGAGGCAGGAGGATGGCGAGTTCAAAGCCAGCCACAGCAAAAGAGAGGCACTAAGCAACTCAGTGAGACCATGTCTCTAAAGAAAACACAAAATAGGCCTGGGGGTGTGGCTCAGTGGTCCAAGGGCCCCTGAGTTTAATCTCCAGTACAAAAAAAAAAAAAAAAAAAAAGTGGGCAGAGGACTTGAGGACTTGAATAGACATTTCTCCAAAGGAAATGTACAGACAGCCAATAGGCATATGAAAAGATGTTCAACATCCCTCATTAGGAAAAATGCAAATCAAAGTCACCATGAGTGACTGCCTCACATTCAGTAGGATAACTATTATCAAAAAATAGAAAATCACCAGACACTGTAGCATATTCCTATAGTTCGGCTACTCTGGAGTCTGACGCAGAGCCCAAGGAGTTTGAGATCCACCTTTGCAACACAGCAAGATCCTGCCTCAATAAAATAAAACAAAAAGAAATGACAAATGTTGGTGAGGATGTGGGAATATGGGAGCCTTTGTGTGTTGCTGGTAGAAATGTAAAAGGGTGTAGTAGTTGTGAAATGTAGCACTGTAGTTCTTCAAAAAATTAAAAACAGAATGGTCCAGCAGTTCTACTTCTGGGTATCCACTCAAAACAATTGAAAGCAGAGTCTCAAAGAAATATTTGTGTGCCCATGTTTTTAACAGCATTATTCACAAAAGCCAGAATATGGGAGTAACCCAACTGCCTAGAAATGGATGAATGTTTAATAAAATATGGTATACACACATGTGTAATATTATTCAGTCTTAAAAAAAGGACATTCTGGCACATGCTACTGCACTGATGGACCTTTACAACATTATGCTAGGTGAAATAAACCAATCAAAAAAAGTCAAATATTGATTGATTTGACTTATATGAGGTATCTAGAGTAGTCAAATTCACACAGACAGAATATAGAATGATAGTTGCCAGGATTTGGGACGAGAGAAAGAGAAATGGTTGTTTGGTGAGCACAGTTTTAGTTTTCCAAGATGGAAAGAGTTCTGGGGATGGACAATCTGAAAAGACTTAAGGCCACTGGAATGGCATAACTAAAAAGTGGCTAAGATGAATTATACTCCATTATATATGATGGATCAAAGTGCATTCTACTGTTTGTAGAACTAATTAAAACAAATTTAATTTTTTTAAAAAAATGGCTAAGATGATATTTAAGTTATATATATTTAAGTTATGCCTGTTTCACCACCAAATTTTCAAAGGGAGCAAGTGAAGGATGCCACCTTTTCTTAGCAGCTCAGGTTTTGGAGAAATGAAAGGACATAAGAAAAAGATTTTTAAAACCATCAGTGGGAATGGTTCTTGGCCTTGTATGAAACTAATTACAAATATACTTTTTTTTTTACAGAGTCATTTTTCTCTCAAGAAGGGAGCTGCAGCCTTAGGAATTGGAACAGACAGCGTGATTCTGATTAAATGTGATGAGAGGTGAGCATGAATCTGCAACCCTTGTAGGTTGGCAATTTGCAAATCCACACAAATACCCCTTGGTGTGCACACGGGTGATGACTACCAGGCAGGAAAACTGCTGTCACCCAGCCGCTGACCTTCACTGTTTCTTTTCACATGGGCTCCTGCTTGGAGTCCACAGATGCTGTGCCTCCCTACCACGAAATCTTTCACAGCTCTTGACTGAATCAAAAACTTAGGTAAATCAATCAAAATATTCTTTACCAAGATGGTGCAGAAGGACATTTATCACCTGGGTGTTTTAGTGACAACTGGCAATTGGAACACTGATGTATAAGGGATCATCACTTGAGGCACCCGTGGCTTGTGTAAACTTGTGGGAGTGATTACAGACTGGGGACAGTTTAGTGTCCAGGATGGAAATAATGTTAGTTGTTGCTGACTCAGCAACTTTGGGCTGGAATCAAAGAGCTCTCTTGTGGGGAAATCCCTGTCTTAATTGTCACTGAAATTCTAGAGGTACATGGGGATTAGGTGTGGTGCTTTGCAGGATAGATTTAAAGGCATTTTCAGAAGATCTTTGTAAAATATTACCTGCCAATAAGCCTGAGAAACCTATAAAAAATTAGATTGTTTCTAAAGGATTCAGTAAGAACTTTGACTAAATGAAAAGAAAGCTACTCATTTAACCATTTATTTATTCATATATATGTACCAGAAAGCTGTGTACAAATTTCCCCGCGTGACACCAGGCTCTAGAAAAGCACAAGGCACATCTCAGTTCCCTGACAGCATGTCATCTAGGTGGGAAGATGTCAGTAGCATCAGAAGGTGATAATTGTATGGTTCAGTCTTGTGACACAGAGTACATAGTCGCATGTCAGGAAGACATGGAAAGCTGCATGCAGCAAGGGGGACCTGCTGAATTTTTCAAATTAGCAATGAGTTGAATGGGTAGTGGGAAAGGCAGAAGCAATCACTAAAGGTTGAGTAGCAGAGGCAAAGCCTTAGAAGAAATAGGAATAAGCACCTGCGGGGGTGGCTCAAGGAGGGGGCCTGACCAGAGGCAGGTGGAAGGGAACAATCATGGCAGATGCAGTTGACCATGTGGGACTTTAAAAGCTCTAAAACCCCAGCACATTAGTCACTACATCCACCTCTTGGAGGTGAGATTAACGAGGATTGGCACTTTCTTGCTTAAACCTTTATGTATTGGCTGATTTTGTTTGATCAATAGCTCTGAACACATTGTTTTTACAATCAGGAAAAAAAAAGATGTACTTTTCCTTTGGGGGAGGAGGAGCTAAATTTATCATTTGACCTTTATAGACCTGGAAGTGAGGTAACTTGAGAGCATTTTTATCCAAGTAGAATGTGAATGAAGCCCCCCTTCAGGAAGCAAGGAAGGGGAAGGGTCTCTGATCATTAGACCTGTAAAAGACTTAAACAATAAGAGAGGCATAAAGTTATAAAGGATTGGTATGAAGCAAACACATCTTGAAGAAATAATTCCTATGTTTTGTTTTGTTTGTGGTACTAGGAATTGAACCCAGGAGTGCTCTACCACTGAGCTACATCCCTACCCCCTTTAAAAAAAATTTGTTTGCTTTTTTTTTATTTTAAGACAGGTTCTCACACTTTGCTGAGGCTGACCTCGAACTTACAATCCTCCTGCCTTAGTCTCTGAGTTGCTGGGTGTCTTATGTTTTTAAGACTGCCAGTGTTCCTCCTTATGAGATACTTATTGAACTGAGATTTAAAAGCTTGCAAAAAATTGCTAGTTTTATATTCATTCTCTTTATTCCTAGAATAAATTGCTAAAGGGAAAAATATTTATAAAGAGAAAGCAATAGAATGCATAAGGGAAGAAAAAAAGGTTTAGATAACTTTAACATTTTTCTTAATTTCACCAATTTGTTAGGGACATAGAATTCAGGGGAAAATTACATAGACAGCCTTGGCCTTCTGCTCTGGTCAGGCTTTCTTTTTAGCATAGTTAGCAGGTGATTTTGAATTGAATTCAAATGGGTGGATAGTTTCCTTGGCAGCACAGAGGAGGCTCTTCACACTACTCTTTAAAGCATCAGTATTGCTTCTTCTTCTCCTGCGGAAATCATGTGTGACCACGAAAGTGGTCTCGGATGCACCCACCATCCACCAGCCAGGTACTCGTGGAAGCAAGAGGCTGGCCTCCTGAGAACTGTGTATCTGAAGGCAGCATCTTGCTCAGAAGAAAAGTATAGGTCTGGTAGAAGGAGCAAGAGGGAAAGCAGAAGAGTTTCAGGGAAAGGGATCACAGACAGGATGCCAGCAAAGAGACACAGAGGGGTGTCATCCACCCACAGGAGGCAGAGAAAGAGACAGGAAGCAAGGAATTCTGGGAAGCTGGCAGGGTCTACAGTTGGTGACTGGCCAGGTAGCCTCCAATTTTAAAGTAAAGAATTTTCTTTTGACAGTTTTAGAAGTCATTAGGAAGACTAAAATATAATGCTAAAAATTATTTTTTTCATAAAATGTCCCACTATTGCCCCACCCTGGGAGGATACAGAGGGGAAAAGGCCTCAGGCAGCCAGGGCTGGGGCTTTTTCTCATACTGCTCATGAGCCTGGTAGCAGTGGAGAGGGAGGGAGAGGCAATGTAGGAAGGAGGAAGGAGAAATGAATAGGAAAAAGTAGGAAAAAAAGGATAAGGGGAAAATAAGATAATAGAAGGGGAAAAAAAGGAAGTGTGGGTGGAAACAGGAAACACATTGAGTGCTTTAAAAGAAACAAATTACAATTTTTATCATCCCCAAAGCACTACTTACTTACTTTAAAAAAATCAAAAATAATAGGGAAAAATAGTTTTGCCACCTCCAAGATTACCATCATGGCATCTAAACCTTTGAATCTCCTTTTTTCAAACATACAGTTCCATTCTTTTTTTTTCTTTTTATATATTTGTGATCGTGTTTCTTTTTCTAACTATACAGGATAACATAAATTCTTTCCCACCTCATTACAAACACAAACACACTTAACTATATAATGTCAGAGGTATCAGAGTGTTGGACAGAGTTGGGTCTGGAGCTGGAGGTTTGATTTCAAGTCTCAACACCAGCAGTAGCTTGGGCAAGTGCCTCTATGTGCGTCAGTTTCTTTATTTGAACAAAGGAAAAAGGCCATGGCATCTGCTTCATAGGATTGTTATAAAGACAGACAAAATGCAAAAAGAATGGGGTAAGCACAAAATATTAATCTGCTACTGTACGTGTCCTTATTTCTAATATTAATATTATAAATAACCTTTCTATCCATCAGTGAGAATCCTTTGTCCCAAGATTTCTCTATTTGGCCTATTTCTTCATTATAAATACTAGCTTAAATTATATGGATGCTTTTAAGGAAAGGGATTTATAAGACCAATTGCCTTTCAAAAGCCTTCACCCATTTATCCCCCTAATTTTATTGTACCTGAGCAGGTTGGGGTGGGGGGAAATAAGAGCTGAGTTAATATCTACATTCATTCTTTAATTCTACATTGTTAATTCACATGCTTTGGTTTGTATGCATTTAAGACAAAGTGGCTTATGTAAAATTGGAGTGTGTGTGGTTGGCAGTGAAGAAGGCCTTGGACAGGCATTTGCAGTCACCACTCCAGTCAGAATCAGTTAAAACACCAGGCAGCCATTTTGTTTTTGTTTCCCTGGGGGACAGACATGCAGTTTGGATCGATCAAGCTGTCAAGCTGTCCCTCTGTGCTTCTTTTCCCTCAGGTGCCTTAGAAAGTTCTTCTAGGCTCTCCTCAAACACAAACCTGGACTTGCTGTCTGGGGCTTTCATTTCTTATATTCACTCTTTCCGACTCTGCATGTTAGTCGGACAGTGGGGAGATGGTTATTATCTTGTTATTCAGTAGAAGGTTCACAACTGAAGGGGAACAGTCTGTGCCTTTCTGGTGGCAAACACAAAGCCACACATGATGGAAGATACCGGAAGAAATCTCCCTTTATTAGCAGCCACAGGGGCTTACTTCAGTGACCCTCTTCTTCAAAGAGAAACACAGTTGTCAGTTAAAGTGAAAAAAGAAAAATGTATATTAAATCCTCATTTGTTTGGCCTAGGTTCTTTCAGAGCTGAAAATCAAAAAGCACTTTAATTTTATTATATATATTCCAATAAGGAGAGTAAGATATGGTAATACAAGACTTCAGTTCAACATGGCTTACATTTCAATGTGAAGTATTGTTTTCTAAAATTGACCTTCTAAATTCAAAAGGGGAAATGTGTAAAGTAAATCCTGGATTTCAAAAATCCTGGTTTAGGAGTTCTCTTTTCCTGTTAGCAAAAATATTGAATATTCACAGTGACAGGATTAATAACTTTTTACTCTAATGTCATTGGGTCCAATATTTATAAAATTTGAATTAGCAGAATCCAAATCAATGATGTACTACTATGTATAACGACAGACAAGAAGAGTGAATTAATGTTTAGAGGAAAGAAAACTGAGAGATATTTTGAGAACTGGATTAGACCACTGAGGAAAAAGATGTTTCCCAAAGATTCACTCAGAGAAGAAGAAAGGAAATGTCTATCATATGGATGATAATTTGGAAGACTATGAAGTTCCTGTATGCTAGCAGCAGGGCTCCTTTGGCTCTAGGCAGTGTCCTTGGATGGAGCCCAGACAGACAAGATGGACATAGTCACAGACACAATGAAACTTAGTCTACTGTGAAACAAGCAATAACACTTATGGAAGGGGAAGTTACTAAAATTCATTAATTCTGCATCTAGAAGATGATGAGAGTTAGCCAGATGAAGAGGAAAGGAAAGAATGTTCCAGGAAGAGTCACAGCACACTGTAACCTGAGAGAGGGGGTGAGGTGGGGGGGGGAGCGAGTGCACTTGGCTTGTTCAAAGAACAGGAACAAGTGCTGGAAAGGTGTGGTCAGGATGTCCTTGTCATGAAAGGCCTTCTGAGCCATAGTGAGCTGTTTGACTTTTGGTTGAAGACATGGGACATCACTTAAGGGT